GATTGGGGGAGAGAGAGAGAGAGAGAGAGAGAGAGAGAGAGAGAGAGAGAGAGAATCTGCATATCACAGATTGGGGGATTGGGGCTGTATCTAGTGTTCTGGGTTCCTGCTCAGTTTAATGTGTCGTCCATGCCCTGAGAAGTCCTAGCCTGTTATCTCGAGGCTTGGTCTCACCTGACAGGGTGACACATGGTGTCTCTCGGCCTGGCTCACACATACTTCCTGGGAGCTACAGACAGGGCTTCAGCGACCTGTCTGCTTTGACGACCGCGCATCAGCGCCTTGGTTAGGTGAGTCTGCATTGCTTGAAGCCAGTTGAGGGCACAAAGAGAAAACTTAGCCAGCATATAGCTCTGCGCATCTCAATACCTGGAAACACGGCCAGGCTTAGCCAACCTGGAAACAACTGCCCTTTCAAGGATGAGTTACCTGAGCCTGGCTGGAGGTGGGTTACTGGGGTGTGACCCGTGGGGGCATTCTTGTCCCCAGCTCCTCCCTCCTCTCTGCCTGGCCCCTCGGCCTGCCATGCTGTTTCTGCTTTAGAGCCACCTGACCCGGGGCTGAGACCAGTAGCCACCAGAAACTGTTCCTCCTTAAAGTCTTGGGGGTTGGTGCTCTACTCCAGGAGTGAACAGTGACCCAAACAGCGCTTGAGCTCACAGACGAGATTCAGATGCGTCTGCCCCATGGTGTCCTGGGAACAGGAGTGTGAGGGGAAGGACTCACGTGGTAGTCCCCAGGGCCACTGTTACTTCTGTCCCCACTTCTGGGGAGATAGGCCAGGGGACGGCTTGGTGATGAGTTCAGGAGGTGATAGGTGGGGATGGAGGTGACTGATAGACTTGGGGCCTGACCTCTGAGGGAGGAGCTGACCCTTATAAATGGTGGCAGGAGAGTCACACCTGGTGACACAGGGACCCCCTCTGTTGTTCTGTGGTGCATTCCTTGGGTGGGATGAGGCCCTCAGGAGCCAGTGCAAGTGTTATGGGGAGGCTTCAGGAGAGTGAGTGAGTGGGGTAGTGATGCTCCTGCCCCCACGCTGAAACTGCATCCCTCCTTTCCTGAGCGAGTGACTCAGAGCACGCAGGCCCTCGACCAGAGCTGCTGTCACTCATCCGGTCCATGAAGGGGGCCAGGCAGGGTTGCCAGCCCTGCCCCTATGTCTGTCTCTGCAGGCTCTCGGCAGCCTTATGATGTGGATCCCGCCATCACCATTCAGGGCTCCCAAGATCAAGTCACTTACCCTGCGTCACACTTTGTAGAAGAAACAGAGCCAGCCTGTGGCCCAGGAAGCCACTGAGCATTCCTGCCTGACCTGACCGCTGCCCTGCCCCTCCCATGGCTGGAATCCTGTCCACCAGAGACCCAGCAGAGCCACACAGCCACTAGAGTCTGGGATCCCCCCCTTCTCTTGCCCTTCCCCCAGCCGCCTGGAGCCCAGACAAACATAGCAGAAGCCCACGGAACTGGAGAGTTCGAAGCAGGAAACTGGTATAATTTTGGTCAGGAGCTGGGTAGGAACAAGGAAATGCTGCCAGACACAGTCCCATCCAAAAGCAATAGAGGGCGGGTGTAGGGTTTCAGGTTTGCGCATTGAAGGGACATTAAGGCACATAGAGGGCTTTATTCAACCCTGTCTGCGCCTGGCTGTCTCTTGCTCTTCTTGTCTCCTGCATCCCTCCCTGTTGAATTCAGTGGCACTGGGGTCGCCAGGGGAACCTAGCACCATGACTTACCCCTGCCCCCTCCCACCCCAGCCTTTGTTCCTTGTTCTGTCCTCCCCACCCCCTCAGCCCCCCTCCCAGACTCTGCCCCAGCCGGCTGTCACCCTTACCCCTCGTTTTTTGTTCCCCAGAGAGCAGCGGCTGCAGTGGGGGCTGTCCCTGCAGGCAGGACACAATGGGAGGCTTGTGAAGTTGCAGCCCCTGTCCCTCCCCAGGGGGCCTGACTGGGCATTCCTCAGCCATGCCCCAGACCTTCTTGAACCTTCTTCTGGTCGGAGAACTGGACTAAACCAGTCGGGTGGGGCCATGGGTTTCGGTTCCCCAAGAGCACCCCACACCCAGGGTCCAGCCCCATGTGGAACGGGGTTTATTAATTAGCAAGGTCCTTCTGCCCTGGGGTTTTACACCACCCCAGTTCAGCTGCCTTTCAACCCCTGTTCTGTATGTGGAAATCCTAGGGGTCAGGTGGAGGAATCTGGGGGCACAACCATTGGGTGTTAGTAGGTGCTGCTCTTACCAGTCAGGGCACGTGCTTGCCCTTTGTGGTTCAGGTGGGTTCCACAGCTACTGTCCGCAGCACCCATTTCATTGATGAAGAGACTGAGGTTCAGAGAGCTGAGGGGAATTCTGAGAGGCCTCCGAGCTTGGGCATCTGAGAATGGAACTTCCTTCATTTGAGCTTCTGCAAAGCCCTCAGTTCAGTCTGGGGCTCAGTGCTGTGAATGACAGCCTGGGGGAATCCAAGCAGCCTGTCTGCTCCAGGTGAACACCTCTGTCTAGAGAGATGGGCGTGTGGTCAGGGGGCCTTTCCTGCCCACAGGGAGTCCCCTCCTGTGGCCACGCGTTTGCCCTGAGCCCTGAAGCTTTATTCAAAGTACATTGGCGGCTGTTCTTAAGCGCTGCTTCTGGGGTGGCTCCAGGGTCTGCATGACCTTGTTTCTGGACCAGCTTTCTCCCAGGACCGTGCGGGCCTGCTCTCCGATAGGAGAGCTTCCTGGATCAGGGCGGGCAGGGCAGGGACGTCCTGTTGGGGGCTCAGGAAATGTGGTCAGAATATAAGGTGAACGTTTAAAAGGTGCATTAGAGTAAAAGACGTTGCCAGGAGTCCCCCTCAGAATCCCCCTCCCACCTCCCACACACTTACCCACTGTTCTTGCTACTTTCTGTCGCAGCTCTGGAGGTCCCCTTTCCTGAATGTCTTTAGTGGTGCTGTTACAGCTGCCTCAGTGTCCGGAACTGAGATGTTTGCTTGTCCCGGTGCTTTTGACTTTGGGAAAGAGCCAGAAGCTCCTTGGTGGCAGATCTGGTCAGCAGAGCGGATGAGGGCACAGAGCATGCTTTTCACAAGTCTTCTTGTGTGTGGCACTTGGCTGCAGCCTTCGCTGTATTTTTTAGCACACCTTGAAAAGACCCTCATAAAAGAGGACTTCCAGAACTGCTTCAGAAAGTGGCGGAAAGGATGGGGTAAGTGTGTTCAAAGGGAGGGAGAGTATTCTGAGAGATATCAGTGACAATGTGTCTTTTGCTGTCGTTTTAGAAGTGTGAACACTGGCCACATCTGTCCATCACAGTGCATGAACAGACTGATTGCGGAGCCCCGCTCTGCAGAGGCAGTGTCTGCCCTGAAGAGAGCCTCTGGGGACCGGGCTACGTGGGCACAGCCTTGGGCTGTAGGTGCCGTGCCGTGGGTGGACAGAGGCAGGTCATGGGCAGGACTGGGGCAACTTAACAGCTCCTCAGCTCCTCGTGTGACACTTCGGTACATGAGACTTGCTTATTTATCTTTAATTAGCCCCCTCGTAAGGCTATGTGATTGAGACCTAGGTGTGCATTGTGGCACCATAACTGTCAGGTGATCAGTTCCAGTGACATCCTAAGTACGACCTTGGGCGGCCCACACTGAATGAAAACACCTTGGCCACAGTCTCCTCTGTTGGCTCCTGTGCTCTGCCCCTGGGCGGCGCCTGCTCACGGACCGTGGCTATTTTCAGTCTCCTTGCATCTCTCCTGCTGTGAGAGTGCAGCTGTGCCTATGCGTGTGGACACAGAGCGGGCCATGTAGAGGTGCCCGGTAAGCCATTGTAGAGATAACGCCACGCACACAGCATCTGCAGGAGCCACCATGGTCTTTTGTGGCCTTGGTGTGGGGCTGGAGAGGCCAGCCCCCAGGCACTTGGTGTGGTGGTGAAGAGCCTGAAGGAAGTGGGGAGGGCCAAGCCAGAGCCCTATCTCTGCCTCCCAGTGGCCTAAGGGGAAGGTCCCTGGCCCCCTTCTGCTCTAAGCTCTGTCCCTGGCCTGTTCAGTAGCCCAGAAAGGGCTCCGGCACATCATGTCCTAACATCACCCGTGTGGCTCTCTAGTGGGTGATGGAACTGCCTCATTAGCAGGGGTGGGGGGACCTATCCCAGGGTGCAAGAAGCCTGGTGGGTGCTGGAAGCACTCGATGACCAGCCAGCACCCAAAGGTGAGTGCAGGGCCCCAGAGAGTGCCCCTCTGGTGCTGGGCTCTGGGAGAGGGGGTGGGAGGATTGGGAGCTGCTGGGAACATTCAGATTTTATTGAAGACTTCCTGAGGGTTTTAAAGCACAGGAGGTTTACTGTCTAATTTGCATTTTAAATAAATCCCTCTGGCTGGTGCTGGAGAAGAATTATAGGAGCAGGGCGGGGTCAGGAGTCAGGGCAGCTTTCAACCCTTGTGTGAATCAGCTGGTAGTTGCTTGTGAGGTGGGCGCTTCTGGTGGGCTGGTACCTGGGAGAGGTGGCCCTGCTGCTGGAGGCTATGGGGAGGCCCAGGGCACTTAGCCACGGGGAGGGAGACCTCCGAGGATCCAGACCCCAAGAGTTGGGGGAAAATGGTGAAGGGCACTGGAGGAAGGGCTTTATTTCCTAAGGAAGCCCTACCCCCTGGAGTGTGCTCACACTGAGCTGTGCGAAGTTTGCTGCTTCTGGGGTACCTGCTGGAATCTGAACACTGAACACCATCCCTGACTTGAAGGGAGGTGGAGGGGTCGCAGTATGGGGAAAGAAGAGAGGCTGTTTAGGTTACTTTGCTCTCCTTGCTGGGACAAAATACCTGACACGTGGATTGAAGGACACAGTTTATGGAGGTTTCAGTCCGTAATTAGCTGGCTCCCAGGCAGGGGGGCACACAGCAGGGGACAGTGGTCTAAGGCGGAATGGCAGCAAAAAGAACAAGAGCACAAAGGAGGAACAGGGCTGGGGTAGTCCTCACACCATCTCTGAGCCCTCCTCTTGCACAGGAGGAGGGTGTTTACACAGTGAGGACCCCGGCCCCCTGAGCCACTTAAGCTTCTCAGTGGTGGTGCACACCTATACTCCCAGCAGTCGGGAGGCAGAGGCAGGAGGATTTCTTTGAGTTCAAGGCCAGACCAGGCTGCATAGTGAGTTCAAAGCCAGCCTGAACTGCACAGTGAGACCCTGCCTGAAAAAGCCAACAGGAACAATAAGGAGCACTTCTCAAGTTGACACACTGTATCAACCATGACAGAGACCTAGCAAACAAATCATCTTGTACCACCCCTACTCCAAGCACCTGATGTTTGCCAG